GAGATCCCAATTCGTCAGTCACGACTGACGTAACGTCTCCGTTCCCTCTTCAGGGAACGAGGGTTACACAAGTAACCTAGACGTTACCTGCTCAAATGTTGAAATTGTGTTGAAACTACAAGTATAATTATTTAATTTTGTATATATTCAATTAACAAGTACATTTATTATCATAACAAAATAATAAGCTCTGCTAGTGCTGACAAGTCAATGTTTAGTTAGAATGGGTTAACACTTGTGATTGTGTGGTCTTCACAGTCAATTCTCTCTTTATGTGCCTGCCTTCCAGCTGTTCTACCGTGTGACGGATGAGCGGGCCAAGCAATCGGAGCTCTACCTTGTGGGCATGGTTTGCTACTACGGCAAGCATTACTCCACCTTCTTCTTCCAGACCAAGATACGCAAGTGGATGTACTTCGATGACGCACATGTGAAGGAGGTAATGACACATCTGTCTCTGGCAGCTGATTCTAGTGTTTCTAATTGTGAATGGAGTGTGAGGTTAACTCTGAATGTACCAAACCATCACAGATTGGACCCAAGTGGAAAGATGTGGTATCAAGATGTATAAAAGGCCACTACCAGCCACTCCTGCTGCTGTACGCTGACCCCCGAGGGACGCCCGTGTCATCGCAGGACATGCTGGCAGCACAGCTGGACCTGCACCACAGCAGTAAGGCCGGCTATGACAGTGAAGACTCCGGTGAGACTAAGAGGAAGTGAGAGGTGGGACGGAGAGATAGAGGGTTAAACAAAAAAGAAACAATACCATTTATCATTGCTTATTCTTAGAATCAGACAAAGGAATAGTTGACTTAAAAATGAAAATACAGTCAATCCAAATCCATATGAAACATGAAACACAAAAGTGCAAATTTTAAAGATTGTGATTGCTCTTTTCCATTCCGTTTTTAAAATTATTGTTTACTCACAATTTCTACACAATAAAATATTTTATTCTAAAAATGCCCATAGAGCTTTAAGATTTTTTGAAAATCTTTTTATGACTTTTCCGGGTCTAGAAATAGCACTGTTAAAAATTAGGCCCCATACAGTATATTCAGGTTTTAATTCAAAGGGGGCGAATTCAAAAAAGAAATATCTTAAAGGGGTCATATGATGCGATTTCAATTTTTCCTTAAAATCGACGCGTTTCGGAAAAGCGGGGCATAGAGGAGAAACAATAATGTACAGTATGTGGAAAATAATGTGTTTTTTAACCTTAAACCACATAAACACATTTCATTACACCAAACACACAAAATAATGTTCTTTTTAGCAACATCATATGACCCCTTTAATTTTTACTTGTTTTCTGTTTATTAATGCTTGTTTTGTCTTATTTTAAATCATTCTAAGTCATCTTTAGGCCCTCTTGGAAGTTTGCTGAGGCCCCCTGGTTGAAAACCATTGCTTTAGAAATTTTGGAATATAGTTCCAAATCATATTGACAACCTTTATGGAGCTTTAACATTCTTTTTTGAATCCTGAACGCTTCAGTCCACATTCACTGTGATTGCATCAAAACGTACAATCTATACATACTTTGAATTTTCTTATTTTGTGGAAGGACGAAAGTCATACAGGTTTGGAAAGACATGAGGATGAGTAAATGACCAGATTTACATTTTTGGGTGAACTATCCCTTTAAAATCTGACCTTTGAGCAGTTGCAGTCGGATAGCTGAAGCTAACTTTCTCTATTTCTAAATGCCCTCTCTGCTGTTGTTGTTGTCATCAGGGAGGGAGCCCTCAATTTCAAGTGACACACGCACAGACTCTTCCACAGACAGCTACAGCTACAAGCACTCTCGATCACACCATGAGTCCATGGCCTCCCATTTCTCTTCTGACTCTCAGGGAACTGTGGTGGGTAATCAGGACAGCAGCGGTTCCCAGAACAGCATGGACACTGCTGGTACTTTTAGCAAACACACACGCTCTCTAATATAAATTCCACTAGCAAAAGCGTCATGCTAAATCAAACTGAGAATGCACATGTTTTTCTAGTTTGAAACTAAAAAGAAATTCTAACTTTCATAAATGTAAAATACTTTTTTTTTTCTTCAGGGGAGGTTCTTAAAGACCAGGCCACTCCCCTTTGTACACCGAGGCCCTCTTCTACTGGCCATCTGCAGAACTATAAAGAGACTATGAATATGATCCACAGCAGACCCCTCTCATCATCCTCTAGCTCAGGGGTGGGCGGCTCGGAGGCTGGGGCGCGGGCAAGAGATTGGGAAGACGAGAGCACCAGCAGTGAGTCCAAGTCCAGCTCCAGTGGAGGGCGCTATCGGCCCACATGGAGACCCAGAAGAGAGGCCCTGAACATTGATAGTATCTTTAGCCGGGAAAAGCATCGGCCGGCCGGCTACGCCACGATTGGACCTTCCCCGCTTCCAGAAGACCCGAAGTCACCAGGGCACAGTGATCTGGTCTCAGGGGCTGCTGTGGAGGGGTCCAACATTGCAGCAGCAGAGACGTGGGGCATGACTGATGGCTCAGGGTGTATGCCAGAAATGGGAGTGGAGCATCTACTGATCCCGCCACCTTTAAGAGGTGTGGAACAGCAGCCTCGGCTGATCCAGAGGATGGAGAGTGGCTACGAAAGTAGTGAGAGGAACAGCAACAGCCCCATCAGCATGGACATTCCCCTCAGCGACAACCCCAGCACCAGTGCTCACAGGTAACACAGCAACTCGCCTACACTAACTAACCTATATATCAGGAGTGTGCAGTCCATATGAGCTCTGAATGCTCTGCATACCCAAGCCTTTTGAGAGAATGAGTTCGGGGACTGGCTTTTTAATATTAACATTACATTAACATTACTATAGCATAAATTCCCTTGTCATCTAAGGTGTAATATGAAGCTCACATGTATGTAACTGTATTTATTTATTTGCCAAGCCATGGCAATTTTCTGCAAATATCTGCCAGTTATGGAGGGATTCAGGTGATCAGATCCACAACAGCTTTGGCGCCTACACTCTATTACTATGAATTGTCATTATTGTTCCGTGTTCTCATTGGTTTTTTGGCATGTGGGTGATTTCATATGTAAGAAATGCTGTCCAGGAATTGCTCATCCAAGCAGAAAAATGTGTTGTTGCTGCCAGATCTCAATTACCAAAAATCACATTGTATTTATGCAAAACTTGCTTGACAAAAATGTAAATCACAATTTAAAATATATTAAAATATAAAACAGTTATTTTAAATTGTAATAATATTTCACAACTCTACTGTTTGTTACTGTTACTGTTACTGTTGGTCAATTGTATATTGCCAACAAAACAGTATTGAGTATATCATAAATATCTGTCCAGGCTTGTACCATAAGCCTTAATACTGCAGTATACAAACACAGACACATTTACTACGTAGACACTGAGAATCATTCTCATGAGTTCATTGACATATGTTCTTCTCTGCCTCAGGGACAGCAGCAGTAAGAGACCTGTGACTTCTGGGCCCTCCTGGCGCACAGTGCCCAAGTCCAAAAGCAGCAGTGCCATCCTGCAAGACCTCAAATCACCCACCTGGAGCAGCAGTCCACTGAGTTTGGGTCAGTCATAACTGGTCTTTGCCTATGTGCATTAACCCACTATTGCTACAAGGTGTTCATGTCAAGTGTTTAACTGGGACATGAATATTGCTGTTACTTATTTATGTCTTTGTGTATGTGTAGGAGTGGGGCGCAGTGAACTAGATGAATTGCAAGAGGAAGTTGCTCGCAGGGCTAGGCAGCAGGAGCTCCAGAGGAAGAAGGAGAAGGAGAGAGAAGCAGCACAGGGCTTCAACCCCAGACCCAGCAAGTTCATAGACCTGGACGAACTTCAGCACCAGGGTAAATGCCACACAGGGCCAAATAGACAGAAACCAAATGAAAAAAGCTAGAATTTGGGTTTAATGAGAGAGTTGACACAGCTTTGCATTATGGGTAATCCCTTCTACAAAAACCAGCCTAAAGTGGTTAGCTGGTTTCTCTTTCTTTTGTCCAGTTCTCCCTTTCTTTTTTACACTTTTCACCTGATCAGGCCGACTGACCAGCTAAACCAACTTAGCACCAGCTTGGCCATGCAGGGAGACCAGCTAGATCAATTTAACACCAACTGGGAGGCCAGTTTAAGACCAGCAGACCACTTTAGGCTGGTTTCGAGGGATGCCCACTACATCATTACCATATTGGTTAAACCAGCTTGGCCATGCTGGAAAACCAGCTAGACCAATTTAAGACCAAAAACCAGTTTAAGACCAGCTAAGATCAGCAAATCACTTCAGGCTTGTTTTTAGGTATGCGCAATATATCGGTACCATATTGGTTATTGGTTGATATTAGAGATTTCTGAATAGATTTTTTGATGGCTTTCTAAGCTGTTTAGGCTGGTCTGATTTAATGCTTCTGGGCTGGGGGTTTACATACTTTTGACTTGATCAGGCAGACCGATCGGCTAAACCAACTTAACACCGACCTGGCCATATACTGGGAGACCAGCAAACCAGTTTAAACCAGCAAAGACCAGCAAACCAATTTAGGCTGCTTCAGACTTTTTTTCCTTCAGGGATAGTTTGGTAGTAAAAGTTTACCCTTTCCTGTCTTCTCAACTCTACATTTAATGCAATGTCTCATGATCTTTAAATGATAAAAGAATCATTGTAATACTATGTATTATAATATAAATATTGTAGATGGGAGCCATAGCATCAAAAACACACCTGTACACTCAAATCTTACATTTTTAATTTTGAATCAGAGTTTCCCTAGTCTGCGTGCATGGTGTGTGTACAAACATGTCTAATTGTGTTTGAGTTGTGTTGGTGGCAGTCGTTAGACTGTATGCGCTTGTGTGTCAGTGGACGCCTCCATTCCCGGTAAGCCATGCAAACGCTGTGAGTGGCGTGTTCCCGGGAACACGCGGGGACTCCTGTGAGCAGTGTTTGTGCGTGTATGAGCTTGTTCTCAGAGGCCTGGCCTTGGTGTGTTAATTGCAGGGAAGGGGGGCAGTTTTGAGCACTGCCTGGCGGAGGCTGACTCTCTCTTAGAGCAGTCGCTGTGCCTGGAGCAAGCAGGGGATACAGCTACAGCCCTGGCGCTCTCCCACCACGCTGTGTGTAAGTAATTCTAACCTGCCTCTGCTTGCTACGCCCAACTCCTACGCTGTCCGCTCGGGTAACCGTCACTTACCCAATATATGCCCTTTCTAGGTCCGTTTGGTAAGAAAGCAGCTCCCAAAAACATTCATGTCCTCGCAATGTGACACAAACCCACCTGTAATACCCCAGCACTGCCTTCCCTTCCTGCAGCACCCCGTGTGTGTGTGTCTTTGCTTCTGTTTGTCTCTCTGTGTGCTTGTTCTCCTCGTTTATGTGCGTGGCATATTATTTGTCATGATCCTGTCTTTGTTTTTTCTAGGGATGCACAATATATCGGTACTACATTGGTTTTTGGTTGATATTAGAGATTTTTTTTTTTCTTTTTTTTTTTAATAGAAATTGGATATTTATTTGTTCATGCTATTTTCCCTTATTTTTATATTTAGATTACCTTTGTCATTTAAAAACACTGTTAATTGTAATCTTACAAATCTTAACAAATCTCAAAATGAATATCTATTTTTCATACTGCACATTATAATGTTTTGATGCCTAAATTAACGTAGTATTTAAAGCTTTAGTTTAGCTTCTAGTGTTTTATTTTTAAATGATTTAGACAGAATAGTATGACATTTATTTTTAAAGTTATTGATAACATGAAAATAATATTGAGCTTAATTTTGATTTATTTTTAATTGTTTAATGCTTATCCTTTTATTTTAATAATTTTATTTATTTCTATTTTTTTATTTTATTTATACATTTTTTACTGTTTATATTTATTTATTTTAATTTAATATTCAGTGCATCCCTGTTTCTGTTCTCTTGGTGCTGTGATCAGAGTCATCATTTGCACAGATTTTCACAATCTGATTGGATGACTGGGCATGTGGCTCTGCCTGTTGATTGTTAATACTGCTGATAGTGGCGTGCTATTGAAAAGCGCTCAGCTTTGGATATTTGAGAGCCCCGATCATCGCCAGAAAGAGGCTGCAACAATTTTAATCCTTTTTTTTTTTTTATTTGAACATTTTATTCTGTGTGTGATCCCTCCATTAGGAACACCATTTGAATGGTCCTCACCCACAGCCACACGCAAAGTTAAATCCATTCTAGATTCACCATCATAACATTCCCGACCTCTATAAATCCCTTTTGGTGGAAGGATTGGATTGTGATTGTGCTTAGCCGTCATGTGTGGATACTGCCACACAATCCTGCCTAAATCTCTCAGCACTCCCCAAATTAAAACAAAAAAGGTGGTTGTATATCTTGCACTTCCCTGGAACAACAGCGTTTTTGTCCGAAGCGCTGGCATACCTGCTTGAATGATTAATGAGCAGAGAACAATTTCAGCTATACAAAACTCTCCACAAAGCTATTTATACCATTCACAAACCACTATCCAGGTCGGCAAACCCTCCATCTCTGTCTCGCTTTGTTCACCGTATGTGCGTATATAACATGTGCCTGCATGTCTGTATATGTGAGGCACAGCACTAATATATGTAAAGGGAAGACAGCTGTTGTAAATATTTCCACTCTTCAGATCCTCGCAGACCTTTCACTGTCCCATCGTGACAGATCCGATTTGGCCCAAAGCGCATACAGGCCTCTAAGATCCAGTGGCAGCCTATAAGGTCATGCCTTCACTATATAAAAGAATAACTCCCCGTTCCTCTGGCCAAATGAAAGCAACGCCTGCCACAACCCTGCAATCCATCATTGGTTTTGTGTGTGTCTACGTTTGTGTGTCTGTCCTGTGTCTTCAGTCTGTGGTGTGCCGTCCTAAAACGTCGTCCCTTTGCATCTCCCAGAATGCCGTCAGCTTTTTTAAAAACCCATTGAAAGCGATGCACGTCATCTTCAGTTAAAGCTAGCTCAGGCGCAGCTGGTGTTGACAGCAGTAAAGGTTCTGAAAATAGCATTTTTTAGGCAGAATTAATGCTAAACCAGACTTAAATGAAACAGGTTCAAGGGGACCATAGCAACATGCGGTTTTCCATGTAACAGCCCCAGACGGGAGAGCAACCAAATCAGCTGTTTCCTAATGCAAACTCATTTTGGTATGCAATTAACAGTCAAATCAGTGTGATGGATCTCAACATGTTGTTTTGTACACACTGCGAACAAGGGCTTAAAAGCTCAATCACAGTCGTTGGTTTCTCTCTTGTCGTTCAGCAGAGCAGCCCAGTGCTTCTCCATATTATGATCTTTCTGAACTCTGTTTATGTCACTCATTGTGAATGGGTTTGTTCAGTAAGCAAAATACTGCACAACAGCAGGCGATGTGTTTTTAAAAAGGCAACGTGAAAATTATGGAACTCAGGGGTGTCATGCACCTATTTGTTTGAGCAATTCTGGATCCATAGTTTAATGTGCTTTTTTTTCTGTATGGTTTTGACCTCAGAAAATCATTATTGTTGTTGTTTTTGCTGTAAATATAATTTAAAAAATCTAAAATAATGTAAATATAAAAAATACTATACAATGAAATAATATATAAAAACAAAATATTATTTTGTTAATAATAATATTATTAACAATATATTATTTAATATTATTATTAACATTAACATTAATATTATTTTTTATGTTTTGTTAACAAAAACATTTTAAAGAAAAAAAGTAAGACCACAAATAATAAATTAATCATTTTAGTAAAGAAATAGATAAATAAAATAAGACAAATAAATGTTTTGGAGCAACATGATGACTCAGTTTTCTGTGGAAGGTGCAAGTCAGTTGGGTTGGACAAATGTAGACGTGAAATGTTTAGACAGATCATTTCTGGCACTTTTTTTTTGACCTACCTGATTTTAATTATAAAAGTGTTGATTTTTTGTGTTATTTAAAAAAACATGGGCATGACACTTCTGATGCAAGCTACTGTTATTGACCCATTACATGCAGTCAACTATGTGACAACTTTGATTAACTAGTGTGCAAAGCTTCGCCTATTGAACGGCCTAGAGCTCACTCTGGGGTGAAAGGTGGGATGTATTCCACCATCACCCTCTCTTCTTTCTTTCAACTTCACTACTTTGTCGTTTCTATAATAAAAAAAATGGACCGCATCCCGGCCCCTCATAACCTCAGCTCTTCCTTTTTCTTTTCTGCATTTTCTTTTCTTCTGCTCTTCTTTCCTTCCCTTTTTGTTGTTCTTTTGCATTATAGCTAAACTAAGATTTTCCATGCATGAGGGCAGTGCTAACACTCATAGCAGGACTATGGCTGCTGACGCCAAGCTGCAAAAATGCATGAGGAGAGCGCGGGGCCTACAGCAGCGCATGCAGCAACAGCAAGAGCAGCAGCAGGAGCCCAGCCGCCCACAGGGGCCCACCAGGTACCTGTACTGTCACCCTGTGTGTCCAGCTTAATCGCTTGTTCAGATGTACTGTATACTCTCTCAGACCCCTGGGTCTTTTAGGGTTGTGTGGTATAACGATGTAGAATCAGTACCGTGGTACCAAAAGTTTGAAAACAGTACAATAGCAGCATACAAACGTAATTTGTGAAACATGAAAGCAGAGTTGATGCATAACGGTGCATTGATAAAAACGCATTGATGCATGATCTGAGAATCAAAATGAAATGTATTGATTATGAAATGTATAAATCAATTAAAATAATTTATTGTTAGTTTAATAATACCCGTTGTGTTATAGAGACCATCTCAAATTTACGCAAGACTGAGGAAAAAATGGATGGAGTTTGGGTTTGTTTGAGCCATTTGAGCAAAATATGTTAACTGTTATTTTGCTCAGTTATGATATATTACCCTTATGCACCAGAATATTTTGATTTAATAAGATTTATCGATTTATATTATTATAGATTTATTTTGAAAAACATTAATATATGTTTTATATGTTAATCCCATGACACTGCTTGATTTAAAAATAGAACAGATTTCATGCTTATTTCAGTTATTAGTACATTTTTAATTTACATGACATGCAAATCTGTCACGCTACCTAAGTACTGAAGCACCAAGGCTGGTATTGTACCAAAGTCAACATTTTGAACTTAAAGCCAACCCTTGTGTCTATTCTTTTTTCTTTTTCATTTAAAAAAAAAAATTAGTTATGCTGGATTTTTGTGAAGTTGTAATGAGAAAAAGCTGTTTTCTTTCTGTCTTTCTGTTATATTTCTGTGATTGTGCTTAAAAGATCTTTTTAACTTTCAGACATTATCTAACTGATCGGTTTGTCAGAATGCAAGTTGACATTTTACTCTCACAAAGAGCTATGGTTGCTTTGGGTTTTGTTGTGTGTTTTCCAGAGCTTTTAGAGGTTAATTTCCAATTTAAAATCACACATATAGATGGGATGGGTGTTATAGATTCCATATAAGACCAAGTATTAGAAGCCGGGGTGCAGTCGGCTGAGTTATTGGCAAACCCAAGCTATCGAATGGCTGCCCACCGATATTACATACACATGGCATGCCACTTTGCTAATAAAGTAGCCTTTCAGAACAATGCAACGGTCACTGCGGCAGTGTGCCCCATGGAATGCGTTGTTTTATTTGTTGTTTCTTGTTTTCTGCTTTCTCTTTCCCCTCCATCGTTTAAAGGCATTGATGTGATGTATGGCCTGACCTGGCCAAAGCCCCTTGGGTAATTACCCAATGTAGTGCTTGAGGAAGTATTTACAGTAAATGAGCACTCTAGCACATTAATCAGAGATGTTTACCTCTGTACCAAACTTCTCCCTGTTCAGTTGCCTCTATACCCACTCTAGGACATTCAGCAGCCGCTAGGAACCACCTATCACCTAGTACTGCTTTTCTAAACAGTACTGCTTTTCTAAACCACTAATTTCCAACCAGGACAGGTACTTACTGTAAGCAGGTTCCTGGGGGCACTGTGAAAGATTTCAAGTTTGCTTTTTTAAACCTATAAAATGTTTTAAATGATTATGCAAAATGATTAGTTAAGAACACATTTCTGGTTTAATGACAATGAAGGGGTGCTTAACTTTCCTTATTGACAGAGCCATGTATGTCCCTAAGAACAATAAAAATGGAATATCACCAATCTAAAAGATAAAAGTGTTGTCCAGACTGCTAAAGCATGCTTAAGCTTGTCATACCCAGTTAAAAACCATAAATGTCCTATACTAATATATATTGAAAATTCATTCTTAGACAGCAGGAATGTTAACAGTGTCAGATTTAGGGTTCCCTACACATATGTGCATTTAAAGCAACTGCACAATGCAATAAAAACACTGAGGATTGTGTGTTTGCATCATTCAGAGGCTTTTTACTGGCATTAGATAAAGATTTGTCTGAAAATTAATCTATCACAAGGGTCATCAGTGGGTTGCTGAGGGCCAGTAGAGATGAAGGATTGATAGTATTCTGATGGATACTCCGCTCTGCTTTATTAGAGATGTATGCAGATAGTGAGCAGGTTTCCCTTCTGGAGCAAAGCCAACTCTCATTCCCGTGCACTCCACTTCTGGGGAGCTTTTGGGCATATTTATGGCTGCTGTAACTTGTTTATATGGCGACTATGAAAATGATGTCAAGGTCGCATAGTGCGTCAGCTCTGGAAAGCAAGTGGGGACTGTGTGTGTGTGTGTGCATTGTATGAGAAGTGGCTCATGAATACTGGTGTGAAGGACGCAGGTCTCCTTGAATTTGGTCCTTGGCAGCGTTGTAGACTTTTTGAGTTAGAAAATGTGTTAGAATGGGTTTCTTGCAGCAAAACTGAAATGTATATGTGCATTTTATGTGTGACTTTCTATAAAAATGTAAAACATTTCAGCACACGCAATAGTACACATTTATATGCACAAGGAAATAATAGCATCAAGGGGTACAAAGTTATGTCATTCAACATAGGTTTTCGTTAAGTTTTTTAATTTGAAGTTTTTCAGGGTTATTTCAGGGTTTTTTTCAGTTAATTAATTTAATTCCATTTTCCAAATAACTCATGTAATTATGTCATCAAATAAATTAATTTTGCCATAATTAAATTAGTTACATTAATTGAGTGATAATGTTTAATGGGACTGTACTAATTTCAGATAACTATGTTCATTTTTCAGGGAGTGTTTAACCAAAATCCTCTCTTGCTTTTCTCGCCTCTTCAGTGAACAGCTTGGCCCGGTCCAAGTATTGTTGACAGACAATCAGGAAGAGGTCTTTGAGACCAATCAGGGTTCTGTGCTTGGCCCAACCTTTCCTCAACACATGAAATCACCCTCTTGTACAAACTCCCCATCTCAGCCCTCTAGCCGCCCATCGCTTAATCCCCGGCCTGCCTCTTCTCAGCCACAGCCCCAAGAGCGTGATGAACGCAGCAATTGGTCAACCCAGAATGAGGACGAATGGGGTGGCATCAGATTATCAGATGTTCTCCCAGCATCAGGCATTCGGATCATGCCCATACGCAAGCATCTTGCCATATCTCTACCCTCTTTGCCCCTTGACTTCTGGGGTGTATTGGGAGAGGACGAAGAGGTCTCCAGCTGTCAGCACCCTCAATCTCCAAATCCTCCTTTGTGGCAGGGCACTGCAGATAGTGCGGACAGGATACTCCAATCCAGCAACCCCAGTCCACCACCCGACCCTGTTGAGGAGAAGGGGCCAGTGCCCCGGCGAGCCCCCATATGGCAGACCCTGTGTGCAACTTCCCAGCCCTGCACCAAATTGACCCCTCCTGTTGCTGCCCGTCATTGGTCCTCTTGGAGCCTAGACCGTCCAGATGCTGTTGTCAACCCCTACAACACACCTCCTGAACAGAACCAGCGGACAGGACCTGCCCTCTCTCAACACACACCTGGAAGACACCTTGCTCCTCACAGTCCCATGAGCACCAGGAAGAAGAACATTGCTAAGTACTCAAAATTCCAGAGCATGGAGTTGGAACCCACAGAGGCCGAGGACCAGGAACTCTCTGAATTGGATTCACTTTTCCAGGCCAGTCTGCAGGCTGGCCCGGGTCCTGGCCGAGCTCTGCGTGGTACCAGCTCACCTGCTCTTGCGAGACCAGGTAAAGTAACATCTTAAATTGTCTCACACTAAATGTGTTTACATGCACTTTAAAAGTTCTGTCTTGCCTGGACTACAGGTGTGGTCACATTTACCATTGTTTGGCCAATTTTCACAGGCAAAATCCAGTTATTTCAATTGGAATCCATGCAATGAGGAATTTTGCATGAAGGCAAAAGATTTCCCCACCCAGATTTCGAAATGGTTTCAAGATGGTCATGTGAATCCCCTGGCATCAAGATGCACAATAGAGGCTGCAGTCTTTAGCGTTCTTGTTAGCGTCTGCTACTATACTGGTTGGCACTGGTTTGAATCCCGGTTAGAGCAGTGCAAGTAATTAGACTACAGTTAGCCTTGAAGTTGTATGCTTGCACCGAAATATGCATATATTCATTATGTAAACTTGGATAGACAGATGAACACTGTAACTACTACTCAATAACGTGTCTATAAATATAAATATTTAAAAATGTTTTTGTTTATTATGCCTAATATGTTAATGTTAACAAACTGAACCATATGGTGCAAAAATGTCATTATTGTCAAACCTGATTTTCTCGGACAGTACCTCCGGCTGCGCGAAAGCTGCTCACTGGAGTCGGACGCTCTCGGACCCCCACAGCTGAGCTTGAGAGGACTGCTTATGGACCACCAGGTTGTTGCAGCCCTGCTGGATACATGAACATGGTAAGATATGTGGTGCTGCACTCCTGTCTCTAGGTCTGATTACAAAGCTCTCACCATTAAGCTCTCATCCATGTTACCCACCATTAATCTAAATAATCTTGGTTTTCTTTACTTAGTTTGTTTGTTTATTATTTGTTGGTTCTTTAATGAGGGATGGCTGTCTCTTCATTTTTATTTATTTATTTTTTTATGTCTAGTCTCTCCACCTCAGAGCCTGTTTTTCATACAGCGCACAATCTGTTAGCACATGTTGATTTTGTTTGGGTGTTGTCTGGTTTCTTCCTGTCTTTGTTTTTTGCTGCAGTAACTCTTTGTTCTCTGTAGCCTCTATCAGTGGCCCATCAAGAGCCTCAGTCAGGAGAGGAAGAGCAGTATAATGCGGATCACCTGTGCCGTATTGCTCGCAGCCTAAGTGGAACGGTCATCGGGCGTCGCCAGAACCGTCTTGCCGTCTCCCGAAGCTTCGTAAGTATCCCACACATGAATAAGACTAAAAGGAATTCTGACCATCTTATTTAATCTGAGGGGCTAGCTAATGGCTAAAATATGATTGAAATCGTACCACTAGTGACTGCTGGCATTCAAGAGTCTGCTAGATGGGCCAAAGAATGGGGGAGGAATCATATATCTGTCCTAGAAACCTGATAAGAGCACTGTCACCTATGCAAGAGAGTGCTAACACACAGCTACTGCCACTTTAGCCTGATCTGTGTGTGCTGCCTGTCCCTTGTCAATCACTGCTGAGCTTTAGGTCATTTGATGTACACTCTGCATTTACATCTACAGTTATTTTTATAGCAGATGCTGTCTTTCAAAGCTATTTGGTGTATATAGTGTGTTTTGGCATTCATACATTTCTAATATATAATGTATGCCAGAAATATATGAATGCATAGCTGTATTGTCACATGACATCCACGTGGACCATAGCACAAGGACACTCAAATACACATGCACAACTTCTCATTGTCTTACTAAGTCATACTGCCATCCTGTGTCCATATGCTGTAACTTCACTACATTCGAAAAAAGGCCTGGTGTCTCATTTATAAAGACATGCATTTAGTCATCTTACCAAATGCATTCGTATACATTTTAAAAATGTTCGCAAGTCCTTCTTGCTTTATTAAAGTCTTTTGTAAATAAGTGAGTGCATATGAAATAGGTAATGCATCAAATTCGGTTGCTAGATTCTAGTTTCTGGCCATACTGTATATATACATATTTAATTCATTATCCTATCAGTGATCCATTTTTTATCAATTTTTCATTCATCTCATTTACATGCACATTATTTTTCAGACCATGTTCTTATTAATCCTTTACTCTGAAAAGTGGTTTACCCGCTCCAGCTATTTGAGAGTTTAAAAATAAATAGGACATTCTTTTCCACTATTCACCAGTCCCCACTTTTGCCATTTATTATGTTGCATTCTTAAGAATTGAATCTAATAATTCCTCAAGTTCAAGTCCTCAACATTAGCAGACAGTAGGTTGAAGTATGAATTGGAAAATATTGACCACTTTTTTTAGAAATATAAAATTGTTTTGTTTTTAAATATTTATTTATGCTTATATGGCACATATATATATATATATATATATATGGTAATGAAAAATAGATTAAAAATATGCTTGTTTGATAATGATGCATAAATAATATTATAGTATGCATGAATAATAGTATAGTGTTTTAGTATATTATTTTGCATGTGATTGTGGTTACTCATTTCATTCACTCACTGACTCACTGACTTATTGCTCTTGCATCACTTGAAATGATTAGAAAACCATGTCAGCGTGCACTGACATAGCAGTTCATGATTACAAAAATAGCTTATATGGCTGCATTGTAATTGCCTTTCGTGTAAGAACATTTTCGCATCAGTTTTTATAGGGATAGTTCACCCAAAAATGAAAATTATGATCATGTACTCACACTCACTTCAGTCCTAACCTGTATGACTTTCTTTCTTCTGTTGAATACACAAGAAGATATTTTCAAGAATGTTTCAACTGCTTTGGTCTATACAATGAAAGTCATTGGGGTCCAAAACATAGTTAAGAAAAAAAGGCTAAGAATTTTTTCAAAATATCTTGTTTTGTTCCACATAAGAAAGAAAGAAAGTCATTCAGGTTTGAAACCATAAGAGAGCAAGTAAATTGTGACAGAGTGCTCATTTTTGGGTGAACCATCACTTTAATAAATCTCAATTTGTTCCTCATTTTTGACTTGGGATCAAATCTGATCTTATGTGCATTTTATAAATAAGGCCCCTGATTCTTTTCATGCCTTACTTTTGTGCTCCCCATCTCTTCCCTTCTCCCCATCCTACCTCTCTCTTCTCCTCTTTTTCTCTCTTTCCTCTGCCTTGTGCATATCAATGTATGTGTGTGTTGTGTGTGTACCTAGCTGGGGGACTCTGGGATTACAACATATCACAGCTCCATGTACTCACCTAGTTGCCTTCAGTTTCCATTGTCTCATTCAGACCTCCATCTGCTCCAACCCAGCTATCTTCATCTCCTTCCATCAGCTTCACCCCCGTCTCAGCAGCCTGGGCCTTGCAGAGAGGCCCCAGGTAAAGCTCACTTTCGTTTTCCACTTCCATAACCACCTATTCCATTCAGAGGTCCATTTCCCACTTGTTCCGCATTTATGTTTCTGCCATTGCATTGCAATTGAGTCCAGGTGCCAGTGCCTCCCCGCTAATCAGTCTGCATTCGCTTCATTTTCGTTTCCTGCTGTTGAAATAGCTCTTCTTTCATTGTTGCCTTTTTTCTTTAATTGGTCTGGATCCCGTCCTTCACACTCCATCCTACCCCACTGCAGGATGTCTCCAGAGGTTCTCCGAGTTTCTGGCTGTGTTTGACCGGCGTCAAGCTCTCTCCAGTGGGAAGCACTACGGTCCAGCACTGAGGTGTATTGGAAGACATCCTCTCTGAAATTCTCACCCCAACCAATTGGCTTTGGACACAACCAGGTCCTCTAGCCCTGGAACGTTTCCAAAGATGCATTTGCTCCACTGGACAACCCTTCTGCACACCCCATCCCATTCTCTTCACAGTTTTCTGGAGAACTAGAAGGAGCATGTCCCGAGACCTGATGCCATCCTCAATCACACTGCGATCTGTATTGTTCCTGAGATGATGCACTTCCGTTACCCTGTTCTAGTCAGTAAATCTTTCCATGCAAAAGCCCCTGAAGCTCGATCCAAAGCATGAAGGAAAGAGACACCGAAACCAACCTTTTTTTTCATTTAAAAGCACTGGGATGGCGTGATTCTTTGGGGCTGAGGTGTGTGTGTATGACTGACCTTTGGTCAGACCTGTAGCATGCAATGACAGGAGTGTGGGGTCCAGACTCGGACTTCCGCAGTCAGCCATCCAACCCAGAGCACTTAACTTAATTAACTCCAGCATTCAGTTAACTGCAGAGGAGAAACATACGGTACCTCCTTGCTCTAGACGATAAATGTGTGTTTGTGTGTATGCGTGTGTGCATGTGTTGGGTGGAAAGGGGGGGGGGCGTGGAGCGTGGAATGAGACTTTTTCTTCTAACCGTTTTCCTCCTACTTCTCTGATACGGGCATTCCCTGTAGCACACAGCTGTTTTGTGTCTCGTGTTACAGGCAAAGACTGTGTACATGTTTGACTGAACATACACTAACAAATGAATTTATTGTTAATAAAAAACATAAAAACTATGACATCTTAAGAAATATACAGAGGAATGGAGAAAATATGTAATGACGTTATGAAATGTTAATCAATTCTAGTGGTAATAATTATTATCTGCATTAAGACAAGTATAGTACACTTCAGAAGTGTAAAGCTGGAGAAAAACTGCTATTTTAATTCCATTGACAGTTCTCCCATTTATACAGGGAGATATGCCAAGTTAAGCTTCCTTTTTATTGTTTATTTTACTTGATTCGACTTTTTTTTTTTAACTTGCAGTGACATTGAAAACACAGCTATGAGTCTGGCACATGATGGATCTTCAGGCCTGTAATAGTTGAGGGGTCTCATCCCATTCGATTTTTGTAGAATCTATATTATTTCTAGATTTTACTTTAATCAGCACAGCTGAAGAATGTTCGGCTCTGATAGCACAGATGGAGCTTATGCAAAGCTTATTTAGCCTGAGATTTGGACAGTATTACGTATATGGGGCCTTGAACAAAGAATGCTTTCATACTGTTATTCAAATAAACGTAATACGATTTGTGATTAACGGAAATCCGATACTGATCAACAGATGTTTCGTATCACAATATAATATGATCAATGCAGTATTCAACTTTTCATTCTAATCATATTATGCTGTGATATGTATTATTTTTTCATTAAAAGCCTTTGAGTGCTGAAATGAAAATGATTATAAATATATAACTTAAAGAGATCTTATTTAACTTTGTCTTAACCAAAGATTGGCTCTAACACAAAGATATGTTTTTTTGTCATCTTTCCTTTCGTTTAAAGGGGTCATATGATGTTGCTAAAAAGAACATTATTTTGTGTATTTGGTGTAATGAAATGTGTTTATGCGGTTTAAGGTTCAAAAAACATTATTTTCCACATACTGTACATTATTGTTTCTCCTCTACGCGTCAATTTTTACAAAGCTCATCGTTCTGAAAAGCGAGGTGTGCTCTGATTGGCCAGCTACCCAGTGCGTT